GTGGGTTGGGCCCACAGATGTCAGAAGATAAACACGACAGCCCATTCCTAGTGGGCATCGCCACTAAAAAAAGCATAAAAAAATATCCAGTCAGCGAAATCTAAACCTTATCTCTTTCCCACTTTCCGACCAAACATATTCTCAGCCAAAACTATTAGCACGCGGCGGCGACTCTCCGCATCCTGTTTCCCGAAATTCCCAGTTTCCACAGCATCATCACGTCAATGGCTTCTCTTCCTCTGCTGCTCTTCTTTCTCTTCCTGTCTTTCCTCTTCTTCTGTCTCAACGCCACTTCTCCTGCTCAGCTTTTCTTTCCCGTCACGAAAGATCTACCTACCCTGCAGTATGTTGCACGGATCTATTACGGCGATCCTGGAGTACCCATCGAGCTTGTGCTTGATCTGGGAAACCCATTTGTTTGGATCGATTGTGGGTCTGTCGACGCGCCGCTGTTGAGGAATGTGATTCCCGGCTGTTCGATGAAATGTTCTAAAGGGGAGGTACATGAAATTGGGAAGAAACAGGGTACGTGCTCTTTTAGTACCAGCTGCAATGTGTCTGCACGTAACGGCGCAACGGGAGTGGCGGTGCAGGGAGAACTGGCGGAGGGTGTGGTGGCAGTTGATTCCGGGAATGGGTTCGCCACTGTTCATCATTTCCTCTTCTCCTCTGCTCCTGCATTTCTTTTACAAGGCCTGGCAACAGGTTCCAGAGGGATGTTGGGATTGGGAAAATCCTCTGTTTCTTTGCCGTCTCAGTTTGGTGATTTCTCTGCAGTTACTGGTCAACGTCGGAAATTCGCTGTATGCCTGTCGCCTTCAGAAGGTGTCGTACTAATAGGGAACGGGGATTCCAATTTCGGCGTTGAAATTACTGGGTCACTGCTCTACACACCCCTGTTCATCATCAATCAAGATTACTTCATCAAAGTACAGTCCATCAAGATAAATGGAAAGCGAATTTCCATCGAGAAATTGAGGTTGGTACCGGACGAACAAGGCCGAGGAGGGACGAAACTGAGCACAACCGTTCCTTACACCAGCATGGAGAGCTCAATTTATGCTGCGTTCACAAAGGCATACGCCAAGGCAGCAGCTTTGATGAACATGACCATGGCTGAGCCTGTGGCCCCATTTGGGCTGTGCTTTAGCTCGAAAGGAATTGGTGGGTCGGTGCCGGAGATCGATCTGGTGCTGCAGAGTGAGATGGTAAAGTGGAGGATTGATGAGGGGAACTCGATGGTGCAAGTGAGCAAGGAAGTGATCTGCTTGGGGTTTGTGGACGGAGGGGTGGAGCAGGAAAACTCAATTGTGATCGGAGGGTTACAATTGGAGGAAAATTTTCTGGAATTCGATGTGGGAGGTTCAAGGCTAGGATTTAGCTCCTCTCTTTTGATGAGGGGAAAATCCTGTTCCGATTTCAGACCAAGTTACAGGGGCATGGAGTCCTTGTAATTCTTTTTTTTTTTTCCCTACTTTTTCTGTAATTTTTGTGGAATAGATGTGTCTGGTTTGATATGTAAAAGCATACATATTATGTTTATCAAAATTAAGGAAATGGAGGCTCAAATCCCCACCTTCAAATTTATAAAGAAAGTTTAAGCTCGCACCAAAGGTCTTCCTTTTTCTTTTTTTGGGAATGATCAATGTAGAAATTAAAACACTTGATTGCTGAATCTAAAAGTTTTAGAATTAATCTTGAACTTGTTATAATCCTCTATTTAAAAAAAAAAAAAGATTCATTAATTCGTTGGCACATTTTGGCTTTTGTATTGCTTCATTAATTTCATATTTACATCCAAATCCAAGCATAGAATAATTTTAGCTTTTGCCAGAGTGTAGATTTTTATCTTCGTCTTCCACCTCCTCCCGTTTTTTTTTTTTTTGTGAGGAGTAGTTTTAATTTGATTGCCTTGGCCCTTAGATTGCTTCAGGGGTCAGTATTAAAAAAAACCCTCAAAATTAGCAAGTGAAGAGGACAATAAACACTACTTTAAGCAGTCCATAGAAAGGAAGATGCTTAGAAGAAGTTTACCAAAAGAATATGCTTGAAGGAAAGATAAACAAATCAATTATTCCACGACTGAAGGATGAGGATTATCTAGAGAGAATTTTTAATTAACTCAGTCATCCATCTCAGTTTTAATAATAATTTTTTTTAGGTAAATAACTACCCATGTGATGAAAAAAATATATATATTAAATACATTTTGATAAAACTTGAAATACTTCAGTGATTATAATGAAAATACCTAGAATGAAATAATTATAGCAACAAAATAATTTTATAATTTATTGAAACTCTTTTTTATATCATTTTAATAATAATATTTTATTAATTTTAGTATTCATATATTATTTTTATTAAGTAATTCAACTTAAAAAAAAATATGACTTCATGTGTAACAATACTGTTTAATTCAACATTGTTAAAAAGAGTCAAGGTGGAACCTCTACGCCTTCGTAGCATCCACTTTTTTTTAGTTTTTATTGGGCAAAACCATATATTAAGTTTCTAAATTTATCTCAGATTTTTAATTAAATTTTTAAATTTTTATTGAAGTAAATAAACTTTTAAATTTGATAATTTAAACAATTTAATTCTCTTTTTTATATTAGATTTAATGTGTATTTGTTTCTTATTTGCCTGATTAAAGTTAATATCTATAACATAAATAATGATATATTAATATTTTATCTATATAAGTGAAAAAAATAATAAAATTGTTGAAATTCACCAAGTTCAAGAACTTATTTAATTCAATAAAAATTTTAGAGTTTAATTGAGAATATGGTTAAATTTAAGGCCTTAACATAGAATTTTACT